ATGTATTTATTATTTTTGTTTCTTATTTTATTATTGTACAATTCATTTTAAACTGCCATTTCTGTTATTTATACCAAAATATTTTTATTCATTATTTTTCTTGTAGTTTCTCCTGATGAAGTCTAAAATATAAGACGAAATATTGAGTATAAAAACAAATGAGTTTCACTAGTCCAGACCGCTACCCGATATCCTCTCCAAATTATATATATATATATATATATATATATATATATATATATATATATATATATATATATATATATATATATATATATATATATATATATATATATATATATATATATATATGGAAGATATTTTCTGGGGTATCAGTCTGGGTCTAAATAAAAGTCTTAAAACTTTTTAGCTACGCCGAGCTTTCGAAAATTTTTATTTTCTTCTTCAGGGCTATATAAAAAGAATAATATTTATACAAATAAATATTAAAAGGAAGGCTTACTTACTGCTATGTGTTTTAAATTGAAAAAATATCATTTACAAGAAAATTTGGCATACTTTTTAAATAAATTGTTACAATCTGACTTTTTTAGTATTACTTTCAGGTATGAGTATGATCTGAAATTTACAAATAACAATGGTTCAAGAAATGGTGGAAATGTTTTTTTAAGAAAATTTCAACATTATTCCAAAGAAAAGTTGGTTTATGTTTTGATAAATTTATAAAAGTGATATATTTTGACTATAAGTGAAGTTATTATTATTTATAGGTTTCATTGTTAGGATATTTGAATAGATAATGCTTAAATCATCTATGTCTGATCTTTTATTCATAGAATTGTTATTTAAAAAGATTTCAACCATCTCCAAAAACAATCTTTTATTATAATTTTGTTCCCTATGTAATATTTTGGTTTCATTATAATTAAAACTATGATCTAATTCATTGAAATGTGTAGATAATATAGAAGTATTTTTTCCTAATCTACAATCACTTTTGTGAGAAGTGATTCTATCTTTTAAAACTCTGGATGTTTGACCTATATAACAATTTTCACATTGGTTACAATGTGAAAAAATACTTCTATATTATCTACACATTTCAATGAATTAGATCATAGTTTTAATTATAATGAAACCAAAATATTACATAGGGAACAAAATTATAATAAAAGATTGTTTTTGGAGATGGTTGAAATCTTTTTAAATAACAATTCTATGAATAAAAGATCAGACATAGATGATTTAAGCATTATCTATTCAAATATATATATAGGTATAGGAAAGCGTACACAAAAAAGATTCAAAATTGTTCTTAGAATACGAATTTTTAGTTCTAAGTATGGTATACCATTGAAATTATTGCAGTAACATAACCTCAAAAGTAGACCGACCGAAAACCTTCGATTGAACCGGAACTGATATTTTTGTGGTGGGACCCTTTAGTGCTTCTAAAATGAGTTGAAAATATCGTAAAGGCTTCAACCTTCTTTCCATTGTTTGCTGTCAAAACTAAAATAAAAATTATTTTTTGACATTTTCAATCGCGATTTTCTTGAAAACTGTTTAAGTTAGGTATAGGATATTATACATAAAATATGCTTAGAATTTCTCATAGAATCCAAAAATGTAATAATATAGGGGGTGATCTAGTTGAAATAAAGAAGTTGATGGCACTTGCGGTCAAACCAAAAGCGATAGTCGATTGTTTTTATAGCGAAATTCTGCATCGATATCAATAATATACATCCTCAAAACTTGAAATCGATATTGATATTCATGCCTGAACTAGAGCTTGGTCAGTAATCTCGTGGTCACCCGGTATATAAATATATATATATATATATATATATACAAAATCCTATCATTGCTGCGTCCATAAACTTCCTCAACACATACACTATTGCTTCCTTCGAATTACTGCGTCCGAATATCGGACGCAACAATGTCAACTCATATTTTTGCCAGTTCCCGTCAATTTTTAAACAAAATTTAGGCGCGAACAGGTGACAGAAGTTTCTAAGTTTCCTTTCCACCATAAAAAGTGGAAGCATCTATTGGGATTTTTATGATTTTACTGGATTTTCTGTTTGGTAGTGGACGCAATAATATTCGTGTTATATATAAAAATGTATACTATTAGTTCATCGATTCTCCGGTAGAGGTGCGAAAATAATATACAGAGTCAAGTATACAGTATATAAACCTAGTATGTTATTGCGTCCGAAGCTTGGCAACATGGCAATCTATTTTTAGCTCGGGATTTTTGTGTGGTGTGATGTTTTGTATCGATCGATTCGATCGTGTGATCATTTTAGCAGCAAGCATAGCCATTGTTGCTTCCGTTAGCAAACATGAACCGAAGTGCAAAAATATTAAGTTTATGTCAGAGGGGACCCAGAGGTAAGTCATAATAATATACAACTTTTTTAACAATAATAAAGCCACAATCGCAAATAGATCATTCCCATCATATTAAAAATTAGCTAGACCCTGCATACGTTGCTATGCCAAACTAACCCAACATTCAACATCAGATCTATCCCACAAGAACTGTGCATTTTTCTGAGATAAAGAGATATGTCAATGAACTTGAATGTCAAAATGCCATGTCAAAAATCCTGACCAATAAGGAAACAGTAATGCGATGTACGTTTTCGTAATCAAAGCAATCTTCGATTGGTTTTCTGTGTATAGGAACTACGTGATATTATAAATTTCACCGAGATAGGTTTTGCGGTTTCCGAGTCCATAAACAACGGTCAAACAAATATCTATTTTTTCATATTAGATAAATTGATTTGGTTATTTTTACTCCAACTTTAGACAGTGTAGTACCCAAGGTAGTATACTCTCTTTGCCAGTTCTTGGGTGCTTCAAGTTTCCTCCCCGTAATAAAATCATTGTTTGTTTGTTTGTTGTTTATGGACTCAGAACCGTTCAACCGACCTCCTTGAAATTTATACCACGTAGTCTCTATATAAAGGGGAGTATTACAAGCTACTTTTTATCCCGGAAAAATGCAACATTTCTGTGGCAGCAACATACGCAGGGTACCTACAGCTAGCAATTATAAAATCAAATACCTATCTTGAAAAATTGTACACCAATATTTGAGAAACTTATGGAAATAATATTTTCAGTACTATCTTATTCTAGTATACTTCATTTCAATTTTGCACACCTTCGTAGAGAAAGTTTCCATTTCGAAAATATCATAATTTCCCCCCATCAAGAGCAAAACTGAATATTTTCAGTACTATTATATTCTATAATTTTGCACAATTCGTGGAGAAAGTTATGGCATTTCGAAAATGTCATATTTTCCCCCATCAAGAGCAAAACTGAATACTTTCAGTACTATCATGTTCTAATATTTTTAAACTTTGCACTTCTTGGTATTGAAATGTATGGCATTTGCAAAATATATTTTTTTTTTCGAAATGCCATAACTTTCTCCACAAATGTGTGCAAAATTCAAACATATAGCTGCAAAATTGTGCAAAATTAGTCACATTGATTGACAGAATTCTTTCCATAGCCAATATTCTAAGAAAAAAGCTGTTTAAACTTAAAGGTCCTTGGTAAATAATCAAAACTTTTTTACGCCTTCCAGTAATTGTGAATGATCAGTCGAATCAACATCCTTCGACATATCTATAAATCGTGGGCGTACAAGCAGAATCATGTAAGTCCAAAAAGTTAGTTTTGAGAAAAATGGAAATAAAGATTTGAATTTACCTGTAAAAATTGTTTTTGTCAATAGATGATTTTCAATCTGTCAAAAACGTTTGTTAACTATTTTTAAAGGATCATGTATCAGTAAAACAGTTATGTAAACAAACAATTCTTCTCTATTAATATTTTTTCAAAAACATGTTGGACTTAAGTTTTTTTTCTCTGTTCCTACTGACTATTTTTTTGGCACATAATTGATTAATGGAAGGTTTTCGTCACTATCATCTTCTTCAGAAGTATAGCTACCTCTCTATTTAGTTAATTATTATTTTTGGTTATTCATACTACTTTTTTCACAAGCATAACCAAATTTTGCACACCAACATTTGACGTTCCCTCCCCCTCAAGAGCAAAACTGAATATTTTCATTCGCAGCCAATATTCTAAGAAGTTTTTTGAACTTAGAGGCAGAGATTCATCAAAACTTTTTTCACGCCTTTCAGTAATTAATGATCAGTCGAATCAAAATTCTTTGATAGATCTATAAAGATTGCCATCCATTTGTACCTAACTTTATAAATTTCAATTATCGTTATTGATGAATAATGATTGTTCATTGATTAAACTGACTATTTATTTTATTGATATTCATGATAGATGAAACGCCGCCTGTGTCAACCGGTGCCAACGTAGAAAATGATTTTTTTTCGGTATACCCAACAAATGGTTATTTAGAAGTGGAAATGAACCCGTCCACTGTTGATAATAGGGATGATGTTCCAAAAACCCAGGAACCATGTAAATATCTAACAATAACATTTTATTGCATGCCTCTCTATTCACCTAATCATTAATATCATTATTTCATCGTTCATACTTTTTTTTAGATCATAACAGTCACTCTTTTAGCCATAGAAAGTCGAACTGGTTTTGCAATCGAGGTTTTCCTAGCCCGGTAAATACCAAAAACTCTTTCTTAAATGAATTCTAATGTAAAATGTAGTTCTTATAACCCACAGTACAGTTGACAGGGTGTTAGAAATTCGAGTGTGTGCATAGGGATATCGGAAACCATAACAGATACGAGGTCGATTAAATTGAGGAAAAGTTGCGCAATTTTTTGCTTAACAAAGTACCGTTTTGAAAATTTAAAAATTCCTAATAGTTCCAGAAATATTAGGAATAAACCGAAAATTTTACAAAAGCGGTTTTTTTTCTGAGTTTATTTGAAGAGATATTCCGAAATAAATATTACTTCACATTGCTACTTTTGTTCCTCTACAAGATGCTTCTATCAAATTTGAAATCTGACGTTTCATCTTTGGACCACCATCATCATCTATTCTTTTGAATATGACCCTGGATTTTTTATTTCAAATTTAAAGAGCTTCTGATGTCCCAAAATCTATGACGTATCACGTTTATTCGAAAAAAAATTCTTTTTACTTTTTAGTAATTTCCTACCAACATTTTTTTTCTCTGTCTCTGTCTACACATTTAGTTATTATGGAAAGTTCCAATAATTTGAAAAAAAAATCGAATAGGTGCAATACGTCATTGGTTTTGGGACATCAGAAGCTTATAAAATCCAAAATAAGAAATAGAGGTAGGTATTTAAAAAAATTAAGTTGATGATGGTGGCCCAAAGACGAAACGTCAGATTTTAAATTTGATAGAAGCATTTTGTAGAGGAGCAAAAGATTTCATGTATAGATTTTCCTTTATAGTGTTCTGCCTTTCTCCATCACCACTAAAGGCTTGGATATCTTCGCCGTTGGATAAACATCATCGGGAAATCGATAGTAATTTTTGTGAACACCACTTGTATGCCCCATGAACGTAGCCAACGTTCTATTTCTTTATTCGATAAGTTGAATAATTGCGATAAGGTTGCAAGATGTTTTCGCAATCGGGTTGCGGTGACTGATGATGGATTTTGTGCACCTCATAATTCAGCGTGTTTGGGTAAAACTTTATAACCTATTAAATGTGAGTCCGAATTCGCCATAGCAAAACGATATGGGTTGTTTTTTGGGACGAAATGGTCTCTAACTTCTAATACTGTTTTAATATGGTCTTGTATTTCAGAGTGAAATAAAACGGGAACTCCTCTGCCCCGCTTTCCTCGGAATCCTTGGATAACTACCCTTTCCAAAGATTTCGGAAGAACTTTTTCTGTTAGAGAGAAGGCATTGTCAAATTCCTCATATTTTTGAGTTTCGGTTGAAGCATTCAGGTATGTATGCAAATACATTCTTTGCAGTTCTCCGGAACGTTTTCTATTCAATAAAATGACTACAATAGATATTTTCCAATAGAATATTGAATGCTTGGATCGTTTTAGGGTTTGTCATGTTAAGTTTATGCTCGGTATCGTCAACTTACATGATCTTCTTTGCACTTTCAACTTCTTTGATAAAGACTTGCGAGGATTCTCCAGCTAATTTGATGAGATGTTGCCTCAATAAACGTAAATTACTAGCAAGAGGAAGAATGGGTACTTTATTCCACTTGTTAAGGTAAAGGTTGTTGGCGGCTTGTGAAGATACCTCACAACTCCAATTAGTTTCAAAAAGGCGAATCAATGTTTTCAGGTCCGCCCCTATTCCTGCAGCAGACAAAGTGTGCGCAAAATTTTTGGTGTGGATAAAGACAATATCGCAACACTGTTTTAAAGATCTTACAATATCCCGTTCAGAATCAAATTTGGCAATCCGGTTTGTGGCTTCCACGAAAATGTCAAAATAGTTTGGCTGAAATAAATGTAGTTATAGATGGTTCTAGTTTTCTCATTTCCAAAAGGACTTTGGAAAGTTCTCTCATTTTGCGGTTTATGGTTTCCGAGATCCCCATGCACACACTAGAATTTGTAACACCCTGTATGTATAATGTACCATCGTCACCAAAAGTAACTGGGACACAAATAATGCATAATAATCTCCTGGACTAATTCTATCGTCATTCATTTAAATGCATTTACTGCATAGTTTGACAATTATTTGACAATAAAATTCATATAATAGGACAAGAGCTAATGTGATGCTGTCCCAGTTACTTTTGGTGACGATGGTACATACAAAAACTACTATCTATATATTATCTATATATATCCTCCTTCTGAGTTAGCAAAAGGGTCTGGGTGGACGAACTCTGTACTCAAGTGACAGGTGGGGCGGTTTTCGGACGCATAGACTAACAGATACACCTTGAATATTGCCCCCAGCAGAAGTGGGATCTGCTGGAGGTAGTGTTTAATTCTAGAAATACACTTAAACTGGCCCAGAAGTGAGGACTGAGGACAGAGTTGGGTTCTCTGGAGATTAACAATCATTTTTTCATTCATCATTGTTCATATATTACAATTTTTCAGCCAAAAAGTCTTTCACGATGGATCTTGCTCTCATGTGACAGATGTGGTGGGTTTCCGGATGTGGAGACTGGAATCTACACCTTGAGTCTCACCCCCAGCAGAAGTGGGATCTGCTGGAGGTAACACTTAATTATGTTGATTTATGATGTGTTTTATACTTTGGATTATCAATGTTGGAACAGTCGCCAAAATGCACTGATCATTCAATTGGGACACCCACTCCATCTTCGAGCAAATTTCAACACATTATTAACAACAATCGATACGCCATCTATCAATGAAAAGCTATAATAATCTAGCAACAATAGGTACAACAGTAACCTTTCAATGTTATTCCGACAGGTGGCATAGCCGAGTATGACATTCCTCATGGTAACAGGAAATAGGTTTTTTGAATTTTTGTCTTAGGTGCTCTCCATTTTGTTTCGCACGTGAAAGGGAAGAAACGTCCCGAAATAAAGTAGAATTAAGAATGTAATCTCTCTAATATTTTATAATTCTAATTAATGTTGTGTTTGTTTGAACAACTTAACATATATTTATTGTGACCAATAAGTGGAAGGATGTCTCCAATGTTGGCAAAGGTAGTCAAAAGTCCATTATGTGATTGACTCACTTTGCACACAGGGTAAATATTCCCTTAATTCAGTATTGCCTATTATTATCTAACATCTTATTTTCAAATTGTAGCCTTGAGAAAGAAAATAAACATTTTCGAAAGCTTGGCGTAGCAGAAAAGAGTTTTTTATTGAACTAGTCCCGAAGAAATAGGCTGATTCCCCAAGAAATTAATAACTTTGTTTCGTTAACTAGTCAGCCAAGACTACCCTCTAACTATATATATATATATATATATATATATATATATATATATATATATATATATATATATATATATATATATATATATATATATATATATATATATATATTAGTAGTTTTTTCTTGGGTTTAGGTTCATAAATGAAACGACTTTTTTTATTTCCTAACGTTTCGCCTTTAATTTAAGGCATTTTCAAAGGGATTGTTTTCCTAAAAAAATAAATAATAATTTCACATTAACCTATTCACTAATTATGCAATAATACAAGAATTTTCCTAAAAATGTTTAATACAGTGTACATACCTCGAAAATGTTATTTCTTATTACCAGGTACCATTTTATGTTGTTGGTTTCAAGGTACTAGGTGTTTTGATATGCGACAATAAAGGAACCATGGTATGTATGTTTTTTTTTTTATTAAAATTTTTATTATATTTAAATTGATCTATTAATATGTGTTCACACTAGATTGAATTTTGCGTCATTTGGGTTGGTTGATGATCTATTTTTTATTAATTATCCGTTGTTATAAGGTTGTTGTAAATTCGACTTAGTCCCATTATGTCAGTTCTGTCATTCACAGCATTTTTTTCTTTTCTAATTTCTATCATTTCTTTGATCATTAATTTATGAAAATTGTTGTCTTTGTTTAATATTGTGGTATTGTTAAACGCAAAACAGTGATTTGAATCTTTCATGTGTTTATCCAATGCAGTGTTGGCATTTTTAGTGTATTTATGTCCATTTAGTCTGTTCTTTACAAGTTGAGTGGTCATGCCAATGTATTTTTTGGGACAATTTTCACAGGGGATTGAGTAGACCACATTCGAATCTTTCATAATTGGCGTTTTACTTTTTAGTTTCGTAGAAAGGGAGTTTAAATTATTTTGGGATTTGTGGCATACTTCTATGTCATGCTTTTTCAGACAGCTTTTCAATTTTTCCGATAACTCAGCTGTGTATGGAATAGAGATATATCGTTTTGGGTTATTGGTTTGAGTGTCTTTTTTAAGATCTCTATTCCATACACAGCTGAGTTATCGGAAAAATTGAAAAGCTGTCTGAAAAAGCATGACATAGAAGTATGCCACAAATCCCAAAATAATTTAAACTCCCTTTTTACGAAACTAAAAAGTAAAACGCCAATTATGAAAGATTCGAATGTGGTCTACTCAATCCCCTGTGAAAATTGTCCCAAAAAATACATTGGCATGACCACTCAACTTGTAAAGAACAGACTAAATGGACATAAATACACTAAAAATGCCAACACTGCATTGGATAAACACATGAAAGATTCAAATCACTGTTTTGCGTTTAACAATACCACAATATTAAACAAAGAAAACAATTTTCATAAATTAATGATCAAAGAAATGATAGAAATTAGAAAAGAAAAAAATGCTGTGAATGACAGAACTGACATAATGGGACTAAGTCGAATTTACAACAACCTTATAACAACGGATAATTAATAAAAAATAGATCATCAACCAACCCAAATGACGCAAAATTCAATCTAGTGTGAACACATATTAATAGATCAATTTAAATATAATAAAAATTTTAATAAAAAAAAAAAAACATACATACCATGGTTCCTTTATTGTCGCATATCAAAACACCTAGTACCTTGAAACCAACAACATAAAATGGTACCTGGTAATAAGAAATAACATTTTCGAGGTATGTACACTGTATTAAACATTTTTAGGAAAATTCTTGTATTATTGCATAATTAGTGAATAGGTTAATGTGAAATTATTATTTATTTTTTTAGGAAAACAATCCCTTTGAAAATGCCTTAAATTAAAGGCGAAACGTTAGGAAATAAAAAAAGTCGTTTCATTTATGAACCTAAACCCAAGAAAAAACTACTAATATATTACCTACGGTTCAAGAAAACAAATCAATATATATATATATATATATATATATATATATATATATATATATATATATATATATATATATATATATATATATATATATATATATATATATATATATATATATTTACAGAGTATCTTGACCGGAGAATTTATAAACAATGGGAGTTTCTTGGGGTATCGGTCGTCTTGAAGGGCTAGGAAATAAAAATCTCTTTTTCCACTAAGCCAAGCTTTCGGCAATTATTTATTGCCTTCGTCAGGGCTACAACAATATAAAAGATTTTATTATTATGAATAATCAAAACTATGACTAGGACATATAAATTTTTAACTATAACTTACTTGCAAAGTGAGAATTTTATAGTCGAAAAGCTTTCAAATTGTCGGAAAATTGTTGTTATTCTATTTTGACTATCAAACTGTACAGAATATAAATGTTAAAAATATGGAAAAATAATTAATAAACAATAATTGATAGATATAAGAAAAATAGAAGAGATAGAAGAATATGTAGAATAAAATTTTGAAGTGTATAAATACTAGTTTCTCATAGACATTGATTTTTGGTGTCATCACTAGACCAGTTAGGTAATTTTAGGAATAAATTTAATTAGATGTAAGTAGGTTCGAATAAATACTACTGAGATCTTGAATATCCTTTCTTTTATTTAGGCATAAAGGTTCTTGAGATATCTCTACCATTTCTAGAAACAAACGTTTATTTAAATTTTGTTCATGAATAATCACTTGTGAATTTCCAAAATCAAAATCGTGTCCTTCTTTAGTAGAATGTTCTGAAAGAGCACAAGAAAGAATAGTTCTTCTACAATCACTTTTATGTCGTGTTATCCTATCTTTTAATACAGTTGATGTTTGACCGATATAAACTTGATTACATTGTTCGCAAGGAATTTTATAGATTACTGAAGATTGTTTTAAAGTTTCATCTTTGTCTTTGACTTTAGAGTATAAATTGCCTATTTTATTGATATGTTTGTGTGCAATTTTTATGTCTGGTATAATTAAAATATTAGAAATTATACCAGACATAAAAATTGCACACAAACATATCAATAAAATAGGCAATTTATACTCTAAAGTCAAAGACAAAGATGAAACTTTAAAACAATCTTCAGTAATCTATAAAATTCCTTGCGAACAATGTAATCAAGTTTATATCGGTCAAACATCAACTGTATTAAAAGATAGGATAACACGACATAAAAGTGATTGTAGAAGAACTATTCTTTCTTGTGCTCTTTCAGAACATTCTACTAAAGAAGGACACGATTTTGATTTTGGAAATTCACAAGTGATTATTCATGAACAAAATTTAAATAAACGTTTGTTTCTAGAAATGGTAGAGATATCTCAAGAACCTTTATGCCTAAATAAAAGAAAGGATATTCAAGATCTCAGTAGTATTTATTCGAACCTACTTACATCTAATTAAATTTATTCCTAAAATTACCTAACTGATCTAGTGATGACACCAAAAATCAATGTCTATGAGAAACTAGTATTTATACACTTCAAAATTTTATTCTACATATTCTTCTATCTCTTCTATTTTTCTTATATCTATCAATTATTGTTTATTAATTATTTTTCCATATTTTTAACATTTATATTCTGTACAGTTTGATAGTCAAAATAGAATAACAACAATTTTCCGACAATTTGAAAGCTTTTCGACTATAAAATTCTCACTTTGCAAGTAAGTTATAGTTAAAAATTTATATGTCCTAGTCATAGTTTTGATTATTCATAATAATAAAATCTTTTATATTGTTGTAGCCCTGACGAAGGCAATAAATAATTGCCGAAAGGTTGGCTTAGTGGAAAAAGAGATTTTTATTTCCTAGCCCTTCAAGACGACCGATACCCCAAGAAACTCCCATTGTTTATATATATATATATATATATATATATATATATATCTATCTAATTTATAATTATATCAGGAAACTTCTTTTTCTCGAGAAAAAGAAAAGAAAATAATCGTCAAGGATATCGCAATCATAAAACCAGCCTATGTGAAATCTGATAGCTTCGAGGAAAACTCTTCAGAAAATAGCATAGACATCGAAAATATCGACAAAACCATTAAAAAAAGGATTTCTTTAAAAAATAAGGCAAGTTGCATTCTTAGTCAAAATAACTTTCTCTTCTTTCATCCAATTGCTTTTCTTTAACGTAATTTCTATTTTAGTCAAAACGTAATCTCCGCTCAAAAAAATTATTCAGAAATGTTGAAATCCAAAGTTATACAGAATTATCTCCATCTACCCCAGAAGACCCTTTTCATGCATCGTCCGGTGAAGATTCTCTGTTTTGTCCCGGCAGTGACGAAGTAAGTTTAATCATAGATTGAAATTAATTCAGTGTCCTAATGAAATACTTTTTATTGCGAACTTGTTTCATGTTTCAAAGTATTATTTTTTTAAATATCTCGATTACGAAAACTATCAGAACTACTGTATTGGTATCATTAAATTATTGCCTTAACTGTCTATAAAACTTTCTTTAGTACGCATTTGAATGTTTTTTTAGATCTTTTAGTTTTCGAGATAATCATACCTTTATCACCGAATTGGCCCACAAGGTATTTTATTTAAAACTTCTTCACATAGGAAAGTTGTTCCGATGACGATGTGACTCCGAAAAAGCCTGGGAAGCTTGGTAGGAACAGGAACCCTATTAGGGGTAAAATATCTACTGAAAATATCAATGCGGTCGCATCAACTGTGGAGTCTGATAGAGCTGAAGATAGCGATTACGATTTAAATTTACCAAGTACTTCAAGAAGTACAAATCTCGTTGCTACTAATTCGCTGGATAGAGTCGAAGATATCGATCACGATCTAAATTTACCGCGTAAATCAGGTTGTACAAAGCTCATTGCTACTAAGGCGCCATATAAGAGAAAACCAGATCATTGCTATTATTGCGAAACTAAGGTTCTCAATTTTAGTCGTCATGTGTTAAGAAACCATTCAAACGAAAATGACGTAGCAAAAATTTTAGCAAAACCAATCAAAAGTAGAGAAAGAAAAAAGCTATTCAATCTCCTTAGAAGAAAGGGAAATTTTTTGGCCGACGGAGGAGATTGTTTCAAACCAGTTAGAGAGGGTTATGTACCAGAAAGAGATAAACTACCTTGTGACAATTGCTTGGGGCACTTTTCATCAAAGCTTTTATACAGGCATAAAAAAAAATGTAAACAGGGGAATGCAGGTGACTCTCAAAATGTAAAACAGTTAAAAATGTTTTATAATGGTAAAGTAGATCGTCGACTAAAGGAGGAAGTGTTTCCCCATATGAGAGCGGACAAGTTATCTTTGGAAGCTCAAAAGGATCCACTTATTTGCGAATACGGAGCTAGATACTTGAAAACACACCGAGAAAAACATTTTATTTACGTAACATCTCGCAAAATGAGAGAACTTTCCAAAATCCTTTTGGAAATGAGAAAACTGGAACCATCTATAACTACATTTATTTCAGCCTTGAAGCCAAACTATTTCGACATTTTTGTGGAAGCCACAAAACGTATTGCCAAATATGATTCTGAACAGGATGTTTATTTTTCACCAACTTTTGCCATGAATATTGTAAGATCTTTGAAACAGTGTTGCGACATTGCAATTACTTTTATCTACACCAAAAATGTTGCACACACTTTGTCTGCTGCAGGAATAGAGGCGGACCTGAAAACCTTGATTCGCCTTTTTGAAACTAAGTGGAGTTGTGAGGTATCTTCACAAGCGGCCAACAACCTTAACCTCAACAAATGGAATAAAGTAACCATTGTTCCTCTTGCTAGTGATTTACGTTTATTGAGGCAACATCTCATCAAATTAGCTGGGGAGTCCTTGCAAGTCCTTATCAAAGAAGTTGAAAGTGCAAAGGTCATGCAAGTAGACGATACCGAGCATAAACTTAACATGAAAAACCCTAAAACGATTCAAGCATTTAATATTCTAATGGAAACTATCTACTGTAGAGTCATTTTATTGAATAGAAAACGTTCCGGAGAACTACAAAGAGTGTATTTGCATACATACCTGAATGCTTCAACGGAAACTCAAAAATATGAGGAATTTGACAATGCCGTCTCTCTAACAGAAAAAGTTCTTCTGAAATCTTTAAAAAGGGTAGTTATCCGAGGAAAGCGGGGCAGAGGAGTTCCCGTTTTATTCCACTCTGACATACAAGACCATATTAAAAAAGTATTAGAAGTTAGAGACCATTTCGTCCCAAAAAATAACCCATATCTTTTTGCTATGGCGAATTCTGACTCACATTTAATAGGTTATAAAGTTCTACCCAAACACGCTAAATTATGTGGTGCACAAAACCCATCATCAATCACTTCAACCCGATTGCGCAAACATCTTGCAACCTTATCGCAATTATTCAACTTATCGGATGGAGAAATAGAACAGTTGGCTACGTTCATGGGGCATACAAGTGGTGTTCACAAAAACTCCTATCGATTACCTGATGATGTTTATCAAACGGCGAAGATATCCAAGCTTTTGATGGTGATGGAGAAAGGCGGAGCAGATCACTATAAAGGAAAATCTATAGATGAAATCGATATTGACATGGAAGAAAATCTTCTAGGCGACAAAGAGTGTGATGATAATAGTGATGATGATGAGGATGAAAATCCTATTATAGATGAGCTACTAGACACTTCTAAGCCGTCTACTAGTAGATGCCAAGATATTGCTTCATCAAATGAAATTGATGAAGAGTCTGCTACAATGATCAAAAAGAGAAAGAATCGTAAGTTAGTACCCTGGACAGATGAACAAAAAACAGTCACCCTGGACTATTTTAAGGAACACATCGAACTTAAAAAGCCTCCAAAAAGACTCGAATGTGAGGACTTGAAGTCAAAATATAAGCAAGTATTAAGTAACAAAGATTGGTTGAAAATCAAGGTATTTATCCAAAATGTCTATACTAAAAAGAAAAAGTAGAATTTCTAGTGCATCGACTTAGATTCTTCTTTTTAATTCCAAATTTAAATTCTCGCTAAAATTATGACATAAATCCAAGCTTCTGGCGTAATTATTGGGAAGGTATTTTAAAGCAGTTTTCAATCGCTGAGATGTGCCTATTTTAAAGTCGAGGGGAAATCGACCATGATTCGAAAAAAAATAAGTATAATAAAAAATATCGTTCATTTCACGCCCAGAAATGGATTTTTCCGTTTTCGAATAACATCAAGAATTTGTTACGCGCGCACGGAAGAATCCTTTTTTCTGGACTAGTAATGAAAAATACTTTTCACAAGGTATATATTTTTGAAAACTCAGCTTAATCACCAGAATACCTTCAATAGATAAATTAGCAAATATGAGCTTTGTTTTGGTTTCACAAAAAAAACGACTCTAGAATGGTTCAAAACAAATCGCACAGTTTATCAATCAACACAATGACAATGGCTCGGCTCTCAAAAATTGCAATAATAAACTGCGCCATTGTTTTGAACCGTTCTAGAACCGTCTTTTTTCCAAACCCAAAAAAAAATCTATGGTTCCCAACTTTTGCAGACGTGAACCTGTTAAGAAAAAATCAGGGAGAATATAGTGAGTTTTAAAATTTTATTATTTAGATCAATTTATTTTTTTATGATTTTTACAAATCAGGAACAAATAAACTATTGTACATTATAAATGTCAAATACTATTAGGTACTCCTCGAAAACAAGATCGACGTACCCTTTCATTTCCCAAATTTTGACGTTCAGTATCTGGAAATGGCTGTTTCGTTCAGGGTGGACTACCCATTAAATATGATTTGTATATATTTTTAGTCAAGACGATTTTTTAGAATGTTATGTGTTTAGTTTATTTTTAGGCCAAAAAAAATTTAATAAAAAAAAATCGTTTCGATGAATTAATGTTCAGCAAGCTGGAAATCGTTCTAATACCTTTATCTGGTTTTAAATGCGTATAATCTGAGTTTGTACCATCCCAGGAGGTGAGCATAACTTTTGGTAGCTAAAAAACCGTTTACGCCGAAATGAAAAATTTTCCACGTTTCTAACTATGAATTTTGGCTATAAAAGTGAACCGATTCAATTAAATTAGAAGTCATTCGATACGGAATTTAGTCCCTTTTAATATTGAATCTGATGACATTTTCCGTCCGACTCATCATTTTCCAACTACAAGTAAAAAACTAAAGAAGTGCAAAAATTTGTCGGATTCTCGACTACCAAAATTTATGCTCACCTCCTGGGATGGTGCAAACTTAGATTAGACGCATTTAGGACCGAGTAAAGGTATTAAAACAATTTCCAACTTGCTGGAAATTAATTCCTTAAGAAATATTAATTTGATTGGCTGATCATGTAGATTTAAGGTTTGATTTCTCTCGTAACCGCTAGAATGGGCGCCATATACGGAAAACCGTTTTATTTCTCTTGTCAATATTTTTGTTTGTCCTGTTGAATGTTTTTTTCTTTTTTATAGTTATGAAAATATATTTTCAAATAACGGACCTTACTTTTCTTATTTTCCACCTCCTAGTCCCCGAATTTCCCATTTTTTTTTTCAGAGAAATGTAATAACAAGAGTAGTTATGCGCGTTTCTTATCCCGCACCAGTTTTAATTTATACATAGGCATAACAAAAAAGTAAAAGCAATAGTAAATTAAGCAACAAGTTTCGAAAATGAGACTCTTTTTACACGACTGACACCCGTATGCACCGTATGGACTTGGGAGTTTACTCTCGCTTAGTTCGAAAATTTGCACATGAAAAAGAAGTCTTAATCTGGTTTTAGCAACTAATCTGGTCCATACGGTGCATCTGGGCGTAGGACAATTTGCTGTCGACAAATCGGATGAGCAAAGAGGTTTTCGAACGAGTTTTTTACGATACCTACTTTTTCTACGACTGCAAATAAGACAAATCATATTTTTCTGTTTAACTTTTTTCATTATAAAAATAGAACTAATACTGGAAAACTGGAAATATCACAGATTTTTGACGTTGTTGAGACAGAACTAAACAAAAATAATGGTGAATGGAAGATGCGTGCGTAATTATTATTATGACATGTTCGTGAGTGAAGTTCCACTTTCAGAGCAAGCTTTCCGTGCGCAAAAATGTATTTTCTAAGGCAGTCGTATAGAAAAATATGTATGAGTATTAGGAGGGGTGCAATTCAAATCCGTCTCAGTAAGTCGCAATTTTTGCGGTGACATACCGGCGAAAAGAATTGCGACTTAATGAGACGCATTTGAATTGCAGGAGAAATTATTGTTCTGTATTTTATGTTGCGTTTTTGATGTTGTCCAAATCAGCTCATACTTCTTTTTACAAAGAAAACTCCGATAAGCCGATATTCAATTTACCTTCGTCATAGTTTCGTAATTTTATTGCGTCCTGTCAGTTTGACAACATCGCACGGAAGCAACATTGTATGGTGCAACCAATATATGGAGCTGACAAGGTTGCTTTTTATGAGGACGCAACAGTGGTTTAAAAATATATGAAAATCTGTATATTTTAAATTTGAAGATACAGAAAATCTACATATAGCCCCATCTATCAAATTCATTGGTGAACCAGTATACGCCTTAAGAATCTAGATAACTCTTCGTTTTCCTGGTGACGCAACAATGTATGTTTTTGTACGGACGCAATAATGTTTGAGGATGTATATATATATATATATATATATATATATATATATATATATATATATATATATATATATATATATATATATATATATATTTAGATTTTTGTAGTTTATTGGTTTTAGGTCATAATAAAACAGCAGAGAGTTTTATTGTAGATTATGATAAGTTTAACGTTTCGACCATGGTTTGGTCTTTTTCAAAAACTGAAAAGTAGGAAAATACACATACAAAATCATACAAAAATATTTAAAAAATCTTTACCTTAGAAAGTAGATTTATCCAAACATTTAAACACTTTAAAAACATCAAGCAACATCACGATATTTTTTTTTTTTTAATTTAAAAAGGTTTCACACGTAGGTAAACATATACAAGACAGGACAGTACTGTGTGTGCACGAGTTTATAGTAGACTGGAATATATTTTCGAGAGGTTGTCTATATCAGTCTTATCGTTAATTGCATTTTTGTGTTTTTTTATGCATACCATTTCAAGGAATTCTCTTTTTTTTAAATTAGGTTCAAATGCCAATATTTCAGCATTATTATAGCAGAAGGTGTGATTTTTTGATTTTTCATGGGATGACAAAGCAGTGGAATTTTTTTTTATCGTCATCCCATGAAAAATCAAAAAATCACACCTTCTGCTATAATAATGCTGAAATATTGGCATTTGAACCTAATTTAAAAAAAAGAGAATTCCTTGAAATGGTATGCATAAAAAAACACAAAAATGCAATTAACGATAAGACTGATATAGACAACCTCTCGAAAATATATTCCAGTCTACTATAAACTCGTGCACACACAGTACTGTCCTGTCTTGTATATGTTTACCTACGTGTGAAACCTTTTTAAATTAAAAAAAAAAAATATCTTGATGTTGCTTCATGTTTTTAAAGTGTTTAAATGTTTGGATAAATCTACTTTCTAAGGTAAAGATTTTTTAAATATTTTTGTATGATTTTGTATGTGTATTTTCCTACTTTTCAGTTTTTGAAAAAGACCAAACCATGGTCGAAACGTTAAACTTATCATAATCTACAATAAAACTCTCTGCTGTTTTATTATGACCTAAAACCAATAAACTACAAAAATCTAAATATATATTAAAAAAAGGTCAAAGAAAAACGCGAAACAAAATAATTTATATATATATATATATATAGTGAATAGCCAGAATTTTAAATAAGATAATAATTTTATACAACTTACCTGTTTTAATTGATTCGGATAAAACTGAATTATTTCCTGGGTCAATCTCTTCTCGTATTTATGGAAATTTTTCCTCGGTTCATCGCGTAGCTTGTCAATTTTTTCTCACTTGTTATTGATTTATTATTGAAAACAAGAATCTTAATTGACTAGTAATATTATCATAAAAAAACGCAGTTGCGTGATGCAATAATGCAATCTGTTACAGGTTAGACGGGATTGACGTTCCTTCGAGCTTTAAAATAATGCATTTTATTGAATCGCACACGCTGCTGTAAAGTGAAAGTTCTCGTTGCGCCCGTACCGGAGATTCAATGGTATTTTCATCAATTCGTTAAAAGCTAAAGATGCTAGTCTTAAAAAACAACATGGGCTATATCAGAAATCCAGAGAGTTGGATACTGGAATATTTTACATTAAATGTCGTGTGCGTATTTGAAAAATACCATTATGGTCACATTCATGTTAACTGATGTAACCCAATGCACTTATAGTGAAAATAATAGACAACGGGCCTAGGAACGCTTTTGTGTAAACAGATGGTTTTTCCAAGTTTAATAAACAAATGGTAGTGTCCTATTACTGGAAAAAGGTATTTGTTGACTTGTTCAGTGAAAAACCTTTTTTCGTTGTTGAGTTTTCTTTCGGCAATGTCTGGGTGATCCAACAGTTAGTGTGACAAATATTTACTCTGCATTGTTCAAGATATAAAAATAATATAAAAAATGATGATTGCATTTAGGTCAAGGCTAACCTTGGTTCTTGCAATAAGTAAGCTCACTCCTGAATGACCAGATCTATTTTAGTATCATTTCCGACCACCGACCACCTGCAAATCCTAGGGGGCGTCGCATGTGAGAATATTAAAAACACAGCAGCCAGTACGGCCAGTAACTTGCGGTCAATAGTCAATATAGCTTTCACTTTGTATCGATGCTTTGTATACCTACACGCGAAAATCATTTAAACCCAATTATTTTTGCTAGGTGTGCGAGGTGTCACTTTTGAACTGGTAAATAACGCGACAAGGACCGTTGGGAATAATAACTGACGCAGATAACTATTTGTTATTCAACAAACAATTTCAAAGCCTATTGTGATTAGTGAA